ATGATTCTATGATTCTATCTGGCTTATTTTCTAGAGCTGGAAACACAAGATTTCCCCCCACTTTAATCTGCTTTTTATCCTCATTTTCACACTATTTAGCTTTTATTTAGCCTAGGTTCCTTAGGCGAAATATTTATGCTAACCCAACAGCTAAAGTTGTACTGGTAGCTAAGATGTATCAGAAGCTTCTCTTACACTATATGTATTGTAGAGGTGTTAATTAAATATTGATTCTCCTGACACTTTTCTGCATTTTAACCTCCACGATTTCAGGGTTGTTATTTATTCATTTGTGTAGACAATCCTCTCTTTTTCTTCATCTATCTTCAATAAATACTATTGCAGAATGAGAAGTGTGACTGGGGTAAAGGATAGGATAAAGGGAACATTTACCATAGTTAGCAACTTGGCTAGAGAAGACTTTGAACAATTTGGGCCATCTTTCCTAGCCTGTAGCTGTACCTCCTGTATCTATAAAACTCTGCATCTGCAAATGCAAGTTGGTAAATATGCTGTTACTCTTCTTTAAATACGTATATTACATATATATTGAGACACTCTTCACTATAGCTCAGCAGACTTGATAGTTGCCTTTGAAAATTTGACCATGTGTATTTAATTGTCTTAAAAGGACAACATAAAGATTTCAGTGAGAGTAATTATCTAGAACATGTGAATCACCTAGTAAACATACTCAGCAATTTACTCAAAAGAATAATTTCAGCCGTTTTTAATTGATCAACCAATATATGTTAGCTGAGAAGATGCACATCCATGCAGTGAAATTAGCCTTACTGACAACGAGCTTTCTTTTTTTAGCTACATTTTGCAAACCTTTCAGAAGTAGTCTGTGGCTCCCAAGATTTGATGGTTTACAGATTGAAAATCCTTCATAAAATCCATTTCTCCAGACTCAGTGGACAAATGTCAATTTTTTCTTCAATAATAGAATGGCAAAGTAATACTGTACTCTGAAATAATTGACTAGTTAATTCCTCTTTTTATTTTTTAGAATAGGCTTTTTCTAGAAAGAACTGCTCCTACATTTTGATTAGGTCGCTTGAAATCACTCTGATTGGAAAACCTAATTGAACATGACTCAATGATGAGTCAGACCCAATAGGAGTCAATGATGAGATACACTTGCCAGAAAAGAAAATCAAATTCTGGGAAGTATTAATAGCATTGTCATATGCGAGACATTGGAGGTAATTATTCTGCTCTATTTGGTTGTGGTGAGGATGCAGGTGATGGTAGTCTGCCTGGTTTGGGCACCTTACTTAATGGATGATACAAATTGAAGAGAGTCTGGAAGAAACAGACAAAAGCTATAAGAGGCTTAAGAAGTATTATCTATTAGGAAAAGTGACTGAAAGATTATTATCTTAGTTATGTAAGGCACTTTTATTGTCACTTGTTCACTGATGAGAGGAGAAGTAAGCAGCTTACATCACAGCAGTGGCTGTGTCTACTCTCCTGAGAGTCTTTATTTGTCCCAGGGAGGCATGCCTGGCTTCCAGCTGCAGGATGCCCTGGTGACACAGTGGCCATGTCACAGTGGGCAGCAGTGGGGGTGTTGGCAATGATGTTACACGGGGTGACACGGCCCCCAGGCAGGTATAAGAAGGGGTCATGGGCAGGCCCTAGACTGGGAGGCAGCAGCTCCCAGCACCCAGGCCAGGCCAGGCCAGGCGGAGCCACTGCCTTTTGGGGGGCTGAGCCCCAGGGGTAGGTGAGGCAGACATGGCCCCGCCAGTCTTTGTCTGAGGCTGGGACAGCCCTGGGCAGGGGACGAGGGGCTTGCTGGGGGTGCTGCAGGAGGAGCAGGTTCCCAGGTCTGGGGCTTGGGATCTTGTGTTGGAAATTCATCTCCTCGGCAGAGGAGTGCCTGAAGAAGCCCTGGCGCTGCTGGGGCAGGTTTCAGGAGCGCTCGCTGCCCACTGTAGCTCTGTCCGCCATGAAGCGCAAGGCCCCTGATGCAAGGGAGAATGGTGAGACCAAAGTGACCCCACACATCCCTGTGGCCCACGACCAAGCAAAGGGTGTGTCAGGGCAGTCTGTGTGTGGCTGCAAGCCTTGTGAAGGGAGGCTGGAGGCCCCCAACAGCCTGGTGCAGGGGTCATGCTCAGCAAAGGGGCCTGAGGCGAGGGGAGGCTGTGTGGGGAGGGGAGGTGCTGCTGGGGCTGGCTGGGAGCAAGAGGACCCAACAGGATGGGATGGGAGAGGGTAGGGGAAGGACAGGCTGGGACAGAGCTATAGCCACCGAGGCCAAGGAAGGGGCCTGCCTTTGGGGCTGTCGAGGGCCAGCGGGACAGGAATCGGTACAGGAGGGGATTTTGGCAGAGGCAAGATGTGCTGTGTGGAACACAGGGACTGGCTACAAAGGCAGCGCCCCAAAGCGTGCAGGGAGGCACTCTGTCCCCCGATACAAGCTAGAGCCTTCCCTGGCCCCTTTTGTGACTCCTGCCCACCACACACGTGCCTGTTGTGACAAACAACACTTGCAATGCCTGCGATGCCTGCAATGCCCCTTTCTCCCCAAAGCCACCAAGTGCTCTTCCTGCAGCTCCAGCCCTGCCTGTCATCCAGCAAGGCAGGGACAGAGTGGGCCTGTGGAGGGAAATCCCTCTACAAGGACACTTTGGCACACCCTAGAGAGGCACTTAGTACTTGTGGCCTTTGCTCTCCCCTCTGCAGCGTGCGTGCTGTGTGGCCGGGCAGACACTGATCCAGATATTTATGGGGAGAAGAGCCAGGATAATGGTGTCTGCACCCATGAGAATTGCCTGGTGAGTTCCCCTGGGGCTGCCCCCAGCTTTTCCCTGGACTCCAGCCCAGCAGCCTGGGCTCTCTGTCCCCAGCCTGGCAGGATCGAGGGGTGTGGGACTGTGCTTACAGCCCATGGCCTGCCCAGATCCTCTCTATGCACCATCCAGCAGTAGTGGTCCCTGCATCGCCCACCTAATGAGCTCCTGGACTGTCCTGTTTTTCAGTATCTGGCCAACAGGCTTTTCTTGAGGCGGGCAAGGAACAACGAAGTCCACAACATCCACCCTGAGGACGTCCGACGGGTGGTGAAGCAGGCCTCTAGGAAGGTGAAGACCTCATAGGGAGCTGTGGGAGGGGTTGTGCCAGAAGGGGCTGAGGCTGTGCCACAGGAAGGAAATCCCGGTGTTTCAGGCAGCCCCAGGCAACACAAGTCCCAGGAGCTCCAGCTCCTGGAAGGCTCCAGCATAAGCAGGGACCGCAGTCCACAAGGTGGATCTGCAGCACGTGACTCAGTAGCACCGAGATCCCTGCACCTTTGCCAAAGGTTTGGGGCAGGCCTGGGGGGCCCAGAGCACATCTCTGACAGGAGGGATGCTGTGCTTTTTGCAGATCTGCTATGTCTGTGGCGAGAGGGGGGCCACCATTACCTGCCAGGGGAAGAAGTGCAAGTGCAGCTTCCATTTCCCCTGCGGCCGTGAAAATGGATGCATCTCCCAGTTCTTTGGGCAGTACAGGTAAGGGCTGACAGCCTTCGTGCTGGGCCTCCTCTGCCTCCGTCCCCCTCATGCCAGCAGTGGCCAAGCAGACGAGGAGCCTGCTTGTTGTGCCCCACAGAGACTCCTCCAAGTGCCCTCCTGGAGACATAGCCAGGATGTGGAGGTCTCATTTATGGCCCCTTCCCCATGCAGTGGGTGCACCTTCAGCATTGCCCTGGGAATTCCTTGTTCTTGGCCCCCAGGAAGCCTGGGAGGCATTAAAGACTGTCTTTGCAAGGCCTTGCCCCTTCATAAGGCCTCGTCCCTGGTTGCGAGGTCTGTGCCTGGGCAGAAGCTCCCTTGGGCTTGTCTCGGAGGATGCCTGTGACTCAGACAGAACATGCCAGGGCCCTGGGATGGGGAATCCACGGGGAGGGTATGGGAACAGGAACATGTGCATGCTGCCCGGGCAGCAGTCGGCCTGTGCAGTCCTTTGGGTAGCCTTGTCCAGAACCAAGGAAGGACTCAGCTCTTCCTGACCTTGCCCACCTCTTCTTCCATGTCCCACCCAGGTCCTTCTGCCAGGAGCACAGGCCAGCACAAACAGTGCAGGCGCACCAGGACAGCCAAACCTCATGTGTCATTTGCCTGGAGCGTGTGGAGGAGAAGCTATCCTACCAGACTATGGTGTGCCCCAACTGCAGGCAGGCATGGTTCCATCGGGGCTGCATCCAGGTACGAGGCCCTTCCTGTGCCCCTTAGGCAAGGCAGGTGCCTGGCAGCAGTGCCCTGCTCACGCTGCTTGTCTCCCTCTTGCAGCAACAGGCTTTTCATGCTGGGCTGCTTTGCTTCCAGTGCCCCCAGTGTAATGACAGGGAGAAATTCCTGCCAGAAATGTCTTCCCTGGGGATCCAGGTCCCAGCCAGGTTGGTTCTCTTCTGCCCTTCCACTGCGCCCACAAGACAGACAAGCTGTGCTAGGCCAGCCCAGAGGCTCTCTGCCCAAGCTCTGTCTCCCACGAGAGGGGCTGCTGAGAGGAGACCCCGGGAACTCAGCCTTCGGAGCAAGAAGCGGGGGGCTCTTGGATATGAGTTCTGGAGGAATTTGCTCTTCCCAGAACTTGCCTGGTTGTTTTTCTCAGACCTCAACTCAACTTCTTGCCTCCATGCTCCTTTGGGGCAAAGGCAGCCCCTGCTTCCCTCCTAGTTTTCTCCCCAACTCCGCCAGGCCGTTGACAACAGAGGTCAAGGTCATCCGGGGCTCAGAGAGGCAACCAAACTGGCTGCATGGGGCTCCCCAGGATCCCTGGTGCTCAAGTGTCTGGCTGTCCTAGATGCCTGACTCGATCCTGGGTCTCCCTTATGCTTGTGGCAGAGGAGGCTCATGACCTTTCTTTTCTTTCACATGCAGACAACCAGCATGGGAGGCTGGTGCTGGCTTTACAGAAATGTACCAGAGGCACAGCCAATGCGATGCCAGCCTGTGCCTCTATGCCCAAGGCAGGGAGCAGGCAGAAGAAGAGGGGTAAGTCACCAAAACAGTAATTTCCCCGCTGGAACTGCTGGCAGCAGATGCCTTAGTCTCAGTCTCTCCGGATCCCTATGTTAGGCTATGCAAGAAAAGCTCATCTGCACACCCAAAATGTGTAAATAGTGTCTGGTCAGTATGCTTGTCTGGCCATGCCCAGTGCCTGACCAGTGCAGTCTGTCCTATTGCCTGCCTAAATCATGCACTAGAAGCCCACCTGCGCACCCATAGAGGAGCACAGAGAGCCAGTGGCAGATGGGGGGAGCCCAAAGACTACCTTGCCTCAGCTACTCATGGGAGGCCCATCCCAGGAGCCATCAGCACATCAGAAGCCCACCTCCTCAAGCCCAGCTCCACAGAGAGGCCCAAAGGCAGGCAGGAACCCAAAGAAAGGGCTCAGAAGAAGGAATACCCTGTCCAGGCCCCTCCCAGGGCTGTCCCAGGAGAGCCATCAGTCCCATTGTCCAGGCGTGAAACCCATCCAGATGAGTCAACACTGTGCTCATGTGACTGCTCTATGTGTCTGTCCGTGATCTGTGTGGCCAACCCCATATATGTGTATATATGTGGTGTATAGGTGTGTGTGCCTACTGGGAATACATCTTCAACCTCTCTACTGGTTGGATGGGGTGTGATACATTTTCTCTCTAGGCTCTGAAGGCCTTGCAAAGGGGTGGAGAAGGGTCCCCCCAGCGGTTGAGGAAGAGGGAAAGGGACAGCCCTTTCTCAAGGCCACGCTGAGCTGCCAGGCCAGATGGCATGCCCCTGCTACCACTGACCAAGTGGTTGTCCAAGCCACAAAGGGAGGGTTTGCCTGGGCTCCTGAGCTCACCCAGGGCTCTGGGAGCAAGGACTCTTGGCATTCAGTTGGGGCCATCTCAGGGAGCCCCACTGGGCAATCTTTTGCTCAGGTCACTTTGTCGTCCCTGGCTG